ATAGAATTTCTCTTGTTGTTACATAGATGTAATATTTTATCTTTACAATTTGCACTCTGCAATCTTTATTTTAGAATATGAAATCTCTTATAATATCCTAAAATCTTTTCTCAAATAATAAACGCTTCTGGTGCAACAAACAAATTTTATTTTACAGTTTGTAAGAACCGCGTATTCTTATTTTAAACATTTTAATACACTTAAATTCTTGCATCCTTTTTTAAATAAAAATTACTTCTGACCACTATAAAATTCTTAATCCCAACGAACTCTTTATTTGCTGATTCTTATCCAGCTATTGTATTCTCTTTAAGATAAAACTCTTTTGTCTTGAGTGCATTTAATCGCTAAAGTTTTAAGAAAAATTCTGTCCTTGAAAACGAAAATCGTTGCTCGCAGCAACGTTCGTTCAGCTTCGTTCAGCATACGAACAATGTTTGCGTTATAAGTTCTGCCAACTCGCTGTAGTAAAGTGTAGTAAAGTAAGAAGACAATTTCTCGTTTTATTTTACCCCTTCAAATTACGTAGCGCCTCGCATGTAACAGTACCAGGTGCCGGCGACGCAAGTTCCTCTTCCTCCTTCGTCGTCGAGAAATCTTACGAGTAGACAACGCCGTGCGCGATAAAAATAACTCGCGCCGCACCGAGTCGCGGTCGTCGAGCGCTTGTTTAATAGAGGCTCGCTGTTCCTCGGATGCAACAGCTGCGGGTGGTTAGATTATTACCGAACGGGATTGAATCAGCCAAGCACAAAATGAACTCGAGTCCGTGCGATCGAGAGTACCGCGCCACGCGGTTCCTTGCAAATGGGACAAACTCGGCGCCATTAAAAGGAGAAAGAGAGAGAGAGAGAGAAAGGGAAACGATTTACAAAGTTTGAAATTACATTAAACATTCACGCGCTATTAAAGAACCAATTTGTCCTCTCTTTAAACGAGGTGAGATCACAAATGGGAAAAATATTTTTATTTCCTACGAATTGTGACGAGAGGGAGAAATGGAAATTCGTGATTTCTTTATTCGTTCGAAACCAAAGGGAATATCTGTTGTAAAAATGTACTGTTATGATTAAAATTACATTCACTTATAAGAACAAGCGAAGATGTTTATCACTTCTTGCTTGGCATACGTAATTCTAGATCAAATAATTTATCAATTATCGAGCTTTTCGGCTCGACAAACTCGATCCGCTTAAAAATTCACTCAATATTTTATCATAAAGATGTAACAATCGAAGGATTACTGTTTTCCAAGAAAGCTCACTCTTGCAAATCTACTTACTGCCGCTTGTTCTTTTTAATTTTTTAATAATTAATCTTTCAAATGCATAAGTAAAGTTCGAAAGACTTTGCGGGATTTATTTTTGTATAATATTCTTCTAATATCTTCGACGAAATGTTTTTCTCTCTAGATAATTGTTAGATAAATTTTAAGGCTATCGGCAGCATTTCAATTAAAAATTATCAAAGTCATTCTTCTATTATCCGAGCTTTTTTTCAAAATTCATTCGATAGTTGTACATCAAAGAATTAATTCTAAAAATAATTGCATGAACAAATGTAAGCAGCAGAAAACGATAATGAATTACAAGCAAATATTTTCACGACCTAATTTGCTGCCTTTGAAAACGAACCCTATCATGTTTGATCAATTCGTTTACTGTTTAAGCAAGTTTCACTGCTCACATTTCTTTTCAGCCGAGAATTCATCCATTATTCCCTGACAAGGAGTACCATCGATCAACATCTTGGGGAAGAAACGTAAAATTTTCCGATGAACATTCCAAGAATTCCAAGTGCGAATCAAATGGCATCTACAGGTAAATATCATTATTTCGTCTTATCGACGAGGTTATCGCCCCTAAATTATTATAATCGCGGCTGCGCATCTACAAGCGTGAGTCCTCTTATCGAGAAATCCGTCGCGCTGTTTCCAGGGACGCTACAATGTACGATCGTCACGAGATCTAACGAACAAACGCGGTCCCATATACGTGGAAAGATCGCGCATCTCCCTCGCGGCGACCGTAAAACCGCGAAGGATGTCGCGATTTCTCGCGGTGGATGCGGTCGCTCTTCGACGTATAGCTTCATTCTTCTCATTCTGTCAAAGTTTTTATCGTATGTCTCACTCTCGAACTATTAACGTATTATTAACAGCGTCAATAAAAAAATATCATAGCTGCGTTCTTGGATAAAGATTCTTTTGAAAATTTTTCGCTCGAGACTAACATGCAAAAGACTAGACTGTCTTAGAAAAATAAAAATTAATTTCATATTTCGATTGAGTTTGAGTAAAATTCAAGACTCGTGCGATTTCGACTTTCAGAAAGCAGATTGTTGCGCAGACCTCTGGATTGAAAAGATCACGATTTTGCAGTTACTCGTCATCGACACCGTCGATGCATGCGTGAGCCGAGGGTAAAACCGGAAATCGGCTGACGAGATAGTTCACCCCGCGAACGGAATGCCACGATGTCTACGTGCACATGCCGTTGGTCTCGTCGCGCTTCGTCCTCCCGCCGTCTTTCTGCATTACCACACGGCCGCTAACTCAATTGGTATGCGACTGCGCGAGCCCGCCAGATGCACAACCGCCGTTGAGGTCAGTGTGCGGTGCGTTGTCTAGCCGAGTTTCAACCGAGCGTGCGTGCTGTATCGTGAAAAAAAGAGAACCAAAAAAAAAACTGCGCGCGAGTCTTACAAAATCAATCTCGACCCCGCCGACGAGACCAGAAGTCCGCATTTTCGCACGTCGCGAAAAAATGTCGCGAATATATATTATACATACATGCGAAATTTTCGCTATGGCTCTGTCAGATTTATTATTTAGAACGGTGCGGAAGAATCGAATTGAACACGCGGGGTATAACTGAGGCCGTTGAACGCAGAACAAGATGAACGTGGGTGAGGAAAAAAGGGGGAAAGGCTACGCGGAGTACTCACTTCCCTTAATTCGATATTTATCTTCCCCCTCCCGGGGAGAATTCTGCAAAAATCAAGCTGGTTGCTGCGCCGGGGTCTTCAATTATCCTTTATAGGCGGTACGAAGTGAGTACTGACGAGGTGCCCGGACGGCCGAAGAAAGTGCAAGGCAAGAACCGGCTCGAGAGATGGTAGACCCCCTACCGGTTTTACTTGGTCCCCCTGTGTAGTAGCTTATTCAAGCCCGCCGCCGTCCCCCCTCCCTCCCCCTCCATCCCTCTCTGGCCCCCCTCTCTCCCGCCGCTCTTCCGTCTCGCGTTGAGTAGTCACGAGAGAGAGAACCCTCTCCTTAATTGCAGCGGGACGACCGGAAAAAAATGCTCGATGGCTTCTGAGTTCTACTTTATTGCGCGCTGAATCGCGCATACGGCTCGGAACATAAAATTAAATGTCACGCGCGGAAAAGTGCAACGGGGGCCCCGATCGCGTCCTATATTTAGCGCCTGTCGCGCGAAGCGTTATCTCGCTCCCGGCTGATCTGAGCTGAAACCGATCGGGAATTCAGCTCCGATAGATCTTAGCGTCTTATGTGTTTTGTCCGTTCGCGAATATTCGTCGCGCATTATGTGACACATCACACGGAAAGAACGATTTTGTTGAAAGGTCTAAAAATTTTGCTAAATATAGATCTGAAAATAATTTTTTGTCGAATCATCAAAATAATTTGGTGAAATATTAAAACTAATAAGCATTGCTACAAAAGGTTTTGATATTCTAGCAATCATTTTAACTTTCGCATAAAATTATTTGGATTATTGAACAAAAATTATTTTCAGATATGAATTCAGCAAAATTGTTCTTTCCGTGCACGTATAACAATTATCAATTATCAATAAAAATTATCAAGGATGAGTCAAATTCGTTCTGTCAGCATCTTGGACTAACTTTATAATAATACCAAAAATAACATTGCTGTTATAATATATTACACATTTAACATTTTGTCTCTTTCTTTATTACGTCGTATATTGATAATGTCTGCAGTCGCGCAGTTATCGCGCTCCATTCAACTTCGCGCACTTGCATTCGTTGCATTCGTTGTTTATATATGAAAATTAAATAAAAGAAAAGATTTTTAAGTATATCCGAACCTTGTAGTTAAAGAAGAGTAAAAATGAGTGTAGAAATGTACATAATCAGGAAAGACGATTTTGTCCATAGAAGGTCAGACTTAAGACGAAGCTTAGGGACGCCTACGGGTGTTATCTAACGCGCGTAAATTTATCCGTGAATCGCGTTCCACCGGATGCGAATGAAGACGACGAAGGGGCAGATAAGAAGGCGGCGAAGACAGAGGAATCTTACGAGCTGGAAGCTCGCGACGCGCTCGCACGCTCGCGAACGAGGCAAGGAGAAGGACGTGACGATACGAAGAAAAAGACGGAAGAGAGACGGGAGAGAAAGAGAAAGAGAAGCCGCGGAGGAGCGAGGGAACGAAGACGCGAAATGAAGGACGGGGGGGAGGGAGGGAATCGTCTCGGGGGCCGTACCACAGCTACCACGGGACCTCTGGCATTCCCGATCATTATTCCACGGGTTTGCTGAGGGAGAGGAGGCTGGCTTGTCCTTGGCACGGAAGGCAAGGTTAATCCCATTGCATCTCGGAAGCGTGGTGATCTACCGATCGAGGACGAGTCAGTTTGGCGGACGCGTGCACATTTCGCTGCCGAATTGCGCTTTTTTATTCGATATCAGCTCCGGATGTATGATTTATTTTATTATGAGAGAAATGAGACTCTCTTCCTAAAGGGTGCTTTCCATTTAGTGACAATTTAGTGACACACGCCGACACAAGTATCGTTTTGTTTTTGTTACTCACTAAATGCTAAGAAGGACAGAATGACATTTGTGTCGACTTGTGTCACTAATTAAATGGAAAGCACCCCCAAAGAGACGAGGAGTTCATTTCTTAATGTGTTATTTATAGGTGAAAGTAATTCCTTTCGGATTAATTTTCAGAAGAGTGTATCCTAAAGGGAATCCTCTTTCAGAATTCATGCTAATAAGCGACGTACCTTGTGCGCGAAATTATCTTCTCTCTGCTGGTCCTTCTTCAAAGCGCTTCTTACGCTGTCGAAGTCGCTCGTTGTCTTAAAAGTTGTGCTGTAGTTGTTACTGAGCACCTCGGCAGGTGGCTTATAATCGCGGTATCCAGTAGGTGAGGGTGTCTTTTCAAGGGGTCGTTCCACGGTTGCGGGCGTGAGGCCTCCGGAGACGACATTCGTGACATTCGTGGTGGAAGAGCGATCGTCGTCCATTTCGAATACGTCGTCGCTCATACTATCCTCAGTCATAAACTGCGAATCATAATTAACGCAAAAGCGCCTTTGAACATCTCTATAAATATATATGTCCAATGTTATTGACCAACATAATGTTAAAAGTTACTTATTTTTAATAAATTATTATTCTAAAAAATACGATTTAATTCACAAAAGAATCGTTATTATTAATGTCCAAAATTAATTAATGTAGATAACTTGAAGAAATAAGAATAATATTTAGCTGCTCAAATTCCAATATCTAGGTAGATAATTCTCGCGAGAATCCAAACGAGCGATGGAGAAAATCCTGCAGCTTCGCTACACAATTTACCATGACAAACCCTTTGATCGTTTTCGAATGTCGTATCGGTCGCGAAGAAATCGCTCGTGGTATCTCTTATACCCGCAGTAACTTTCCGCGAAACGAGTGCCGCTTGTCGCATTATCGAAGCCTACCGGAGAAAACCAGTTCGGCGGATGCTCTCCGTAAATGCCATCGCCGCGCAGCGAATGCTGAAATAACTGTCCTTCGATCGACCGACATCTCCATCTCCGAGGAACGTGCCGTAACGCCACGGCCTTGCGTAGTACTTAAAGCCAATTAGTAACTAGTCCCCGACGGCTCCGATGTAGTGGCTAGATCACCGTATGGTCGCGCGCGATCATAAAATGACACGAGGAGATGGGCATGTACCTGGATCTTTATGGAGTCGCGAATGCGCGACGATTAATTCGCGTACGTGTATAGCGTCGTGGAGTCAATTGCAGAAGAAGATTGTCACTCGAGGACTCTCTTTTAACTCAAGTGCAAGTGTTTGACGTATCCGAAGCGTGACAACGCGAAAGACTCGTCACGTAAACGTGCCCGTGACGTCTCCGGCACGACGACGTCGTGACGTCGGCGGCGTCGCCTCTTGAAATTGAAAGGCTCGCGTGGAATCGATAAATTTACATGGCGGAAAGCGACTGGCATACATGATTTATGGCATTGCTCCCTGCGAAGAGAGGCACCGGAGAAGTCCGATATAATCTCCCTCCCGGGTAGCCAGCTCCCCGCTGAATATTTTAACGGATACGCTCCATGAAAGGTTACTTTAGCGACGTCTGGCTACTTCGATTCCTCACGTCGCGCGCCTTAATGGCCTTTATCGATAGCACGTACAAATGATAGCGTAGCGGTGGATTACTATTATCGTCGTTACATTAGCTTTTCGTATCTTGATTATTGACATTACGAATTTAATATCTCGGAACTTTTATTGTGGAACGATATAAAAGAGATATAAAATTGTATATAAAAGCAGTATATATTTTTTGTTATTCCGTATGTTCTGTATTTTATTCTATACATCACATAAATTTTGTATACATATGTGTATGTATATTTATGTGTATAATTATATTTGTGTTTATTATATGTATTTATTGTATATGTATGTGTAATTATATAGTGTTTATTATATGTATATAATTATTTATATACATATATATATATATAATTTTCCACCTCTTTTTCTCTCTCTTTTCTTTTGCTTTCGATGTATAAAATAATATAGGTTTTGTAGAGCTGTGTATTAATCTCAAAATTTGAATTAATTTACACCACAGTTTTATTATACATATTTATACCACGTAACAGTATGATGAGACAAAGTGACAGAAATGCCATAATAATGAATACGCGCATTGTCCCGAAGTCACTTTCCTTCCAAACTAGTTGCCCTCCATTTCACTTTACCCCAATGATAGACCGCCCCGCATTAATCCCACCTCTGAGAATATCACATGGCGCGCGACCTTGATGTGAAATTCAAATATTAACAAGTAAATTTGAGAACACCTTCTATGGTCGAGGCTGGATCTAATTGGTCTAATAATATTTCTATATGAATTTTAAATCCATTATTCAGCTATTTAAACTACGCGCCGAATTAATGTACTTACAATGCAATCATTAACTCAAGCTAGAATAATGATATTGACAATTGATCTTCAATTTTAATAATCTGATGCGAATAAGCATCTTGAAACAACTGCGAAGAAATATTATTACAAGATTTGATCGTATAAAATGCGCTCTCAAATTTATTTGTAATATTCACCTATACACGGTCTAACTACAATTATTATTGTTTATATGTCAAATAAATTTGCTTTCGTTGTGTATATAATAGGCTGACATATGAAACATATATACTTATAAATTATCAATAGTATTAGAATAGACGCGTTTGGACGCATATAGATGTTGGCACAGCAATTTTTGGAAAAGCGGTTCTGTTAATGGATAGCCGAGATACGAAATATATAATCTGTGTCTCAGTGTGTATAAAAAAGCAAGAATCGGCGAAGTAAAAAATAGAAGAAAAAAATGAAAATTACAACTTTAGAAGTGCACTATTCGAGCCAAATGCTTGATCGAACACGATCGATGGTGACCTGCGTACGGTGACTACTGAACTCTTGGGATACTTGTTGCACCGGTTCTGCACGCTCATTACTCAACTGACGGTTACCCATATAGCGGTGATAAAGTCGGCAGCGATAATTGGGTTGCGAAAGCACCGTCGCGATACCACGACACCTCGCGTGGCCGATCGATTCTCCCAAGAATAAACCCACAGTTACTCGCCGATGTATCAAACGTTTTAAGAATTTCATAAGTTTTTAAAATCGAATTTATCAAAGGGTCAGATGATTAAAATTTAAAATTCATGATTAATATAAAGGCGCTATAAGAGCCACGCAAGGTATTCCTGCTATAATTCTTGGATTTATTTTTCAATTATAACAAACGATTCCAACATTGGAGCATCTTCAATGTAGTAGATACACTCTTAATCATGTATCGCCTAGTACCTCCAAATTTTTTTGAACATGGAAATGACATTTCGAGTTACACACTAAAAGGAGGTGTTTTTCGTATATTAGCACGAGGTACGGAATATATACGAAATAATAATAAATTTGGCGATACAATTGGAGGTACTGCTCTTCTGCTACTTCTACATTCTGGAGGTACTGCATCGCGATATTTTTCTTTTGGAGGTACAAGGCTCCGAGTTCGTACCTCGTGTATAAAACACGAAGTACAAAATTTTGCGTATGTACCTCGTGTACATAATACGAGGTACAAAATATTGCGTATGTACCTCGTATTTATTAAATACGAGGTACTTAGCGGTAAAAACGTACCGCCAGTGTTTGGCAAGTCCTTGATCAAATGACAAGACAATTGATTAAAGAGAGATTTCGTATACCTCCAATTTTTGGCGGTACATATCTAAGGGATATACTTATGTCCCTCGTAATTACATATAAGGGTTTATATTTCAACGTGTACCTTCAATTTTTGACGATACATGATTTTAAGAGTGTACATTTTAATTCACGATCGTCGAAATGTAATGATGCAAGGTATAACAACCGCGTTTATTCAAATATACATTATTTACGGATTAGCAAGATCCTCACATGTTGTCAAATTATAACGTTTAATCCTCACATGTCAAATTATTATGTTAATGTAATTGTTCAATGTCCAAAGTAAAATGTATAAAGATATTATCTATACAACCAATGCTTCATAAAAATGTTCGGAAAGTATACTGTAAAATACTGTAAAAAATCATATGAAATCGTATGACTGAAATGAAACTAGTTAAGAAAAAATTCAAAAATCATACCTGCTATTATTAATATGGAGAGAATCGATGTTGCACGGTTGGAAAGATCGGTTAAAATGAATACAAAAATGATAGCATCGAAACTCAAGGAGATTGAAAGGATACAAGAGAAGGGGAAGGAAACTGTGTGTGATAGGAGGCGATATGACGGCATTAGGTGGGAGATTATAAGTCAAGGATGGGGAAAAATACTTCAGAAAGCAATTCCGTGTTGCTTTACTTGTTTAAATCCTTTTTTTTCTTGTGAACTATCTCAGAAATCAATCTCTTGTTATAACTTAGTTCATTATTTAAAATTTTTACGTTATTCCAGTTGAAATAACTTGTTACAAGACGATGATTCGATATAACTGTAAGTCTCTTTTTTTTATATTTGAGATATATTCACGGACTCTAGTTTTAAGTTACCGTTTCGTTTGTCCAGCATGTGGTCTCCAAAAATTATTGCACGAATATCTTGCGTGACTCTCATAATTCCTTCATAAATTTTTGATACGACAAGAAAACAAGAAAGAACACACAATGTCAAAGTAAATCTTTACAATCTGCTATTATAAAGAAATTCAAATAAAATATTCGTAAAATATATAATGGACTTTTAATAAATTTCTTATAACGTATGGAACACTTGATCAGTTACGCACGTCACTGTACATTAAAAGTGTACTTACATTAAGAGTCGCCGAAGCGGGAACAGTAACCATGGGTGGACCATCACCATCACCAGCACCACCTCTCATCGTGCTCTTCTAAATAAGAATATCCCTCATTGGATAACTGAAAAATAACATTATTCGTTAGTATGGTCTATTTAATCAATATATAAAAATAAACTATATATTATATAAAAAATTTTAATGTAATTAAAAATTAAACTGCGTAAATTAAAAAATATATTCTCCGCCCCTTCCCCGATGTTTTGAAAAGATATATATAAAATTGCATAATTATTACTGCAATAAATATTTCAATCATTTTCATTATAACATGTTAAAGAGAGATCTTTATCTCTCAATCTCTCCCTTTATAACTCTCTCTTGACACGGGAAGTTTATACAAAGGCGTTATCACACAGTTCTAGACGACCAACTCTAGTTCGAGGGTAAATTTGCTCGAAGGGTGCGAGTTTGCTTCGCGCTGTCGAGATCAAAGTTCGACAGAAGATATATATATACCGCGACGGAGTCATCGCGTCAATTCCGGTCGAGGAAAATCGAGGAACTGTATACTCCGCGGAGTTCTTCACCCTGCCTGAACTAGATGAGCGGTTCTCCACTCAGTTATCCATTCGATTTCAACCCTCCTTCGACTCACAGTCACGCAAACATGCGCGCATTTCCACGCAACATCACAATAAGCGTGAGATCATCTTTCTATCTCTCATTCTATCGACACTCCATCGGTGCGTGCGTCCCTCTTTCGGGAGCATAGAGCTTCTCTCCTCTCGCTTCTCTTCTCTCTTTTTCTATCTCCCTCCCATCATCAGCACATTTTACAGCCTAACGCGCTCTTCCTCCGCACGTCCTACCATCCCGCTCTCTCCCGCCCTTCGACACGTGTGCTTTCTCATCGTCCTTTTCTCCCCAGCCATCCTCGCCGCCTTCAACATGCAATCACGCACGCATCATCCTCGCACACTACTCACACGTGTATACGCCGCCACATAAAACGTCCCGCGTGACATTCTATCCCTCTCAGGTGCACACACTTAGCCTAACCACATTCGAGTGTCGTTCGTCACACGCCCGACAACAGGACCCACTCTCCTCCATTCTTTCTCACTCGCTCTCGCAGCCGCAGCATCTTCACGCTCCGTTTCATCGTTTGTCTCCCGCTCTCTCTCTTTCTCTCTCGCTTTCTCTCTCTCTCTCTCACTCACGTCACGACGAGATTCTTCGTCCTCTTTGTCACGCGCACGATCAGAGGAGACCGGCGCGCCGTTCATCTCTGTCACACGCTCTCTCTATCTCTCGACGTGGCCCACCCACCGCAATAAGTTCCACCCGCCCACGTTACCTTTCACGCACTTCTCGCCGGCCGATCATCCGTTGCGGATTGGGAAGCAGGCGATTCGCTTATCTCGCCGGACGATCTTTCGGCGGCCGACCGATCGGTCGACTATCCGGCCGAGAAAGGGAGACAAAGGGGCATTTTTATTTCCTCTGCCACGGCCAATCAGGTATATTGCTGTTACGATATCTAGCAGTAATTATGCACGCATAATTATAAACTCGCAGATTAGACATCTCGAAACTGAGAGCGCCAGATTCCAAACTCACAGTCAATCTTTTGGAAAACAATTTTTTTTCAATCCTCAACTTCGAATAATATAAATTTTTCTTAAACTATATAACTTTCTATTCATTTCAGCTTGAATTAAGCAATATTGCTCGAATCGCTGTAATAAGATAACAAAACCGACTCGACAAATGAGAAGCAGTTATCAAAGTAAAAAGCGACTTTTCTAGTAGAATGCTTCGTTGATTTTCTAGGGAAATTATTTATCCTTGAAGTCGATACTCAGTATACGCTTTCTCGGTCTCTTGGTTTCTTCTCCGATTTTCATGGCCAGTCGAGCGAAACTTATGGTCGGAAACATTACTAGAATCAGTACGCTTGACGAACAAAGAACGTCATTATTTCAATCAATAAAGTTATTAGCGCTTTATGAAGATGTTCGCACGGATTTTATTTAATTGGATCATTGGTTAAATATTCGTTGCTCAATCAAATATAGTAATTGATAAAAAGAGGAATGAAAAATGCTTCAGATTTTTTAACAATTTTAATAAATATGATTCACCAATAAGTGCAATATTTCTATTATTCACTCTATGTTCTAAAAAAATACTTCATTTTTAATTGCGTAGCCGGAAATTTCATGTAAGTTTACAGTATACGCAAAAAGTAAGCCAGCGACATTGCTGCTATGAGGCCTATCAGAGATTACAATGTGACACGATGCGAACAAAGATAGATTTCACGCAAAGACAATTACATAAGACAAGTCTATTTATTTTTAAAAAAGAAAAGCCTATTAGACTATTTCACAATGTAACTAAATCTATATAATTCATAACTGTATATTTTTTATATCGGCCAATAGAAATCATCGATCTCGATATTCTGTAATTATAGAATAATTACAGGTCTCATCCCACATATGCCTCAATTTTATGAGGTTTATTAGAAATGTATATTAATATATGAGGCCGTGAGAGATCGAACCCAGGACCGCCGATTACAATTCAACGTGCTCGCACACAGGCATTCGTTACTCCATACAGAAGAACCTACTAAACTGTTCAACAATAACAAACAAGAATATACGCCAGAGCTACGAATCTAGACAAGGCTCTAGAGCCTGACCTTTTTTGTTTACTCTCCATCTCGCTTTATCGAGGCGACAGAAAGGTAGCAGAACTTAAGCTCGCGAGCCACGTTTGGACAGGCCTAATGTAACTAATCTACAATCATAACTGTATAACTGATGATACATTCTTATTGAAATAGGTATATTTATTGAAATTTTATGCAAAAAAAATATGCTGAATGATTCAGGAAAGTCTCAGAAATTCTTGAAAATACCGCGTTTAATTCGTATAAGTGCACCGTAGTCCTTTAAATGTAATCAATGCCGGAAAAATCAATATTATAAAAAAAATAGAAAATCTTTTAAACATCCTAGATTTGCTTAGCTTCCAAAATAGTTTTTAACGCATAATTTTTTCGATATTTTTATAAATTGACAAAATAATTTCCAGCGGATCTCGTTTATTTCCTCATTCGATTCCCGCGTTGGCGGAGACGCGCTCGAATACAATGAGACCGAACACTTCGGCTTCGTGGAATCGCGCCGGCCGGCGATGCCGTATCTCGCGCTACGAAATCACGTCGAGAATTTGATTGCACGACGCTCGGGCTGGCCTTAATGAGAGCGAGCCTCCGATCGAGTAAAGGCCATCGGGGTCCGTCGGATCGTTCGGGTCCTCGCGGCACGACCGCGCGCGCACCGTAAAAGCGCTCTCTCTATATTTAGCCACGGGGCTTCGTGTACATTCCCTACCTACATCGCCGCCCTCTCGTTTGTTTTACGAGTTCCGCACCACGCTTTCATTACGTTTACACGCGCCGCAAAATTGTCGCGCGACGCAAATTACCTAGGCCAGTCTATCGATCGAACGCGTTAAACGATTACGCAACGGCCGCGCTTGTCCAAATATATCCTCGTGCACGGGGGATTATCCCTTTCCTCCCCGATGCACCGCGGTCGGGGCACCGCGGTGCCGCAAAGTCATGACGTCTTGCGATATTGATTTATCCGGCGTGTACACGATCCGCCACGTGTGCGCGTCGCGCAGGTTATCGCGATCGGGTACGAAATTAACGACGACGCGTAACATCTCTGGGAAACGAGAGAGATCGCATCGAGTCCTCCTATTGTTGTCGTCATTTCGTAGTCACGTCTATGACCTCGCGCGGCATCGATCGCTGCACCCGCGGATCGGTGCTTTCCAATCTGCATCTATATGCGACGCGACCGTGGATCGCGGCTGTTAACCGTATGATTCTGCCGGTGTAATAAATTATTTCACGTTCCTGCATCTGCGGCAGTCTAGTTACCCGGCCCGTAGGGAGATTTCCCTACGATCGATCGCGACCGATTTACGACCGCGATCGAAGCGAAGCAAGGAAGTAATCGTAATCGCTATGAAGCGCGAAGGTTACTTTCTTATACTTGCTCTTGCATCTCAAAGAGGCTGTTGAAACACCTCAGAGAGAGCGGCATTATCATATTAATGCATTTCACCTCATTCAATTGATCATTGCATTTATTTTATTTAATTAATTGTTGTTTATTTAATTAATTTTATTCCTGTAAATTTTTGTTTATTCCGACAAGAGAAAGAAAGCCACGTCGTAACGAACGGAAACTCGGTCAAACGCCTGAACTGGAGTTATGAATGCTCGACTACTTGTTACACTTTTCGCCGCACATGCGCGTTGTCGGAAACGACCACAATTACAGAATATAACGTGTGTACTTTTACGTTTTGTTTGCCCTCTTTTGTTCTATTCCTGGACGATATAATGAATAATTTCACACGTCACAATTAAAAAAGTATTAAAAATTACGGGACGAAGGGATAAGAATTATATAACTGATATCTGCATTTTAAAATATTAAATCATAAAACGTTAAATATTGTAAATCAAGCTCGCTCAGCCTTCGTTATTTTCGCGTTGCTGCAAGATGTGCCGAGCACAGGCGATAACTTTGAAACGGCGTTTCGATATTGATTAAGTGCCATTACGAAAGTCCTATGTCCGTCCCTACGTGCGTGCGTAATTCCATCGACATCGCGGACGCCAAGGTCGCGTATTAGCATTACGTACTTCTATTTCCAGTATTACGTGCGTGCACACGATGACGGCGTTACACGAGGCACAAACAGGCGTAGATTAAATCTCGCCTGAACCAACTCGCTATCGCGCGGAATGCATCTTCGCCGGATATTTCTGTCCGGGAAATTACCCCCCGAAGTTGCTATCGGATACCATCAAGCCCTGGTGCGCTGGTTCTTACACACGCCTGACGAAATCGATCACGGAGAGATATACTCTCATTTATGGATTATAAGCTCACTCGTGCGCGACGTAACCTATCGTTCGGGATAATCGCTCGCGACATCCGGAATTATTTCTCGTCGGCGAGAAGAAGAAGCGAGCGTGTAAGATCGTCGAAAGAGCGCGACAGCTGCTTATCGCAAGTTTTGAAAGGGCGACGCGCCAAGAAGTTCACTTTAAATGAAGGAAGAAACGCCACGGATGACATCACACGCTTCAGCTACCCCGATAATTAGCTTAAGTGACCCTACCTTCGGTGTATCGCGTCCCTTGCACTGCAGCGGGCGCGCGCTGTCGGAATTTCACTGCGGCAACGCGCACGCACCTCCCAATCGGAAATCGCACGTTGTGACACACCTATACGAGGAGCCTCCGCTCCTGCTCTCGCGGCAAAAGGCGTACGCTCGCCGCTACCTTCGTCGCGCCGCGCCGCGTCGTTTCACCGATAACGCGACTCTCCGCTCTGACCGATAGCGCGACGGTGACGTAACGACGGAGAGACTCACCTTCCACTAGCGTGCGGTAGGACGACCCACTTTTTCCCATGAACGGGCCGACGAACGGTAGGCGAAACACACGGGAGCCTCCAGACTCCCTCGCGCGCTCCCTTATCGATCTCGCCGAGTATTTACGTCGTGCCGCTGCCCTCGGCCGAATAAATCACGTCCCCGAGAGGACCCGGAGTGGTTGGACAACGCCAGTGCACGTCGGTGTCACGTCGGCGCGGTGGTACGCGACACGCAGCGGGACAAGGGTGGTCTCCTCCTGCACCCTTTAAAGACTTACGGGACAAGCCTCGTCACGACGGTGTTCGTCGTCGTCGTCGTCGTCGTCGTCGTCACGTGACAACACACAGGCGGACTGACCGACGCACACTCCGCGGCAGTCACGGTCGTCGCGCAGCTGCTTGACGGCCGGTAACACAATGGGGCGAGGTGGAGCGCGACGATTGTGTGTACGGATCGCACACGCGACGGCGACGCAAGTTTTCGCGAGACGGGAGAGATGTATCTCTACGGGGTGCAAGGAGCATGAAAGACGATGGATGCGCGCGCGCGCGCAACCCCGATACGTGAGCACGTGTGTATGTGTGTGTGTATGTATGTGAGGCGAGAACGAGGGCGCACGCAAGCGCAGCCCGCAGCGTCACCGTCATCGTCGTCGTGGCTTTGTGGTCGTTGTTGTCGACTCGTTACCTCGACTCGATATCGCGCACGTTTTCTTTCTTTCTCTCTCTTTCTCTCTCTCTCTCTCTCTCTCTATTTCACTTCGTCTCTAGCACGCGCGCGCGCGCGCGTCCGCCGTTACGTCACCGCGTACATGTTGCGTCACCGAGTGCGTGCGCGCACGTGGTCGACGCGTACGTTCGATATAGACATATGTGACGATTCTACGTGATCCAACCTCATACACGGAGTACGATAAATCGGTGGTGAGAAATGAAAATGGAAATATTGAATCGGAAGCATTCCCCCTTTTCAGCTGATCTTCTCAAAACTTTTCTTTCTATTTAAATTAAAATATTTTCAAAAAAAAAAATGAAAAAGAAGAAGTAACAAGTACAAGAAACGCAATTAAAAAAGAAACAGATATAAAAGGATCGATTTTTGCAATGTAGTGCAATCGAGAGTAAAGAGAACGCCAAAAAGTAAAGTTTTACTTGTTGACAGTACTCTTATCGTGACACAGAGCTTTCTCGATAAATTATCTTTCATGAATTTTTTTCTTTTTTATTTCTATTCACCTGTAAATTGTTCTGTAAATTACACTGTTTTTCTATTGATGTCGAAAGTATGACACTTATAAATAAAATATGATAAAAAAACTAGTAACAAGTAAAACAATCGCAAAAGAATTTCTTAATGCTTAACGAAAATGTTTTTTGTGAAAATAATTTATTTCACCTATTTTTTTTAATTACTTTTTTTTATGAGATCTTTTAGAAATCTCGCGAGAGTGCTTTGACGTCGCATCATTATTTTTGCATAGATCGAGAACTTACAGACACTGCAAACATACACACATCTCGTGTTAATTTAATACTTTTCATCATGAAAATTATGTATGACTTCTGAATAAAAATAACCATAGTTTTCCAAAGCTATCTGGGAAACTTTATCATCATTTAAAGAGTTCTTCGAACCTCAATAGAATTTGAGAAAAATTTCTGAAAATCTCATATTTATATATTATCAGACAAACTACTATAGTGTTGCAGAAAATATAGCAACGACATTGCAATTGTATAAAAATCATTATCAATATCTCTTGCAATTGTATAAAAATCATTATCAATATCAATATTTCAATCATTTCTAAATTTTCATTGCAAAAAAAATGGATTATACGTTAGCTTTTCTGCGTTATTAAAATTAGATGAAAGAAAATAATTCGGATTGACGTAAAATCGGGGCGAATTATTTAGGCAGAAACTCGCAAAATGGAAATATAGTTTAATTTTACAGAGTTATTAATTTTAAAAATTAAGTGCTCCTTCGAGGGACAAGCAGAGCCATCGTCATCCCTCGCGAGCTTTTTCGCAAGTCAACCCTTGCGTATTCGCGGCCGATAAAATCGCGCTCCTGCCAGAAATTACCAACCTCTCAGCCCCCGAAATAGGGGTAGCCCGAAGAGGAGGGTGAAGAGTTAGGCGCGGAGGGCGGGTTTGATGAATAATTCGCTTGCGTGGGGCTTTCCGTGCTTTGGAAACTCACCACAGGATGGCGACGCTTCTCCGGCACGGCAGGAAGTGCCTTCGACCCCCTGCAAGGACCAAGGACGAATCGGCCAATCGGCGTGGCAGGAGCGAGGGCTGAGCCCCGTAAGTTTCTAGAATTCAACGACGACACGACCGCCATTTTCGGCCGTACCTCCCAATCATCGTTCAACACGACGTTCCTCACTCTCGCGACAACGAGTTCGCTGTGTCGTTACGCAACTCGTCAGATACATTATGCAGACGCACAGCTGCGCAGCGATTGCATGATGCAAATACTGCAGGCAGGCAAGCAGGCGGGTCGCCCGCGCGACAAAGAGATCTCGGCGAACGCCGAGGATCTATGATCGCGTCGAAACGCGCACGACCACCTAACTTTTCAATCCTATAACTTTTCGAAAATAAAAATAAAGAAAAAAAAATGTGGCTTAGACGGAAATTTGCGAAAGATTAAGATATCTCAATTTACGACTATCTCATAATACGCAACTTTTGTTCGAGTCACTTACAACCGCACATTTATATATTATAGCGAGTGAAGTATTGTTTCCAAATAATCGTAATATTCTGTTGCAAAACAAGTTATACAGCTTGAAAATAGGTGTACCAAAATTAAAATAAATATCTATACATTCGCATTGATAACTGTCGAAAAATTAAGATCTGCAAATCATTAGCAATCCACTCGCGAGACTTACTCGCGACCTTTTCGAAGGATACGTCGGTACTACAATCCGAGTGCATTTATTACATCAAATCTCCGATTATATCCCACTCGTTAGCCTGTATAATCTTACAAACATCGTATAAAATTTAAATTGAAAGCAACGCTATCTCTCTTTCTCTCACCGCACCTCTAATAATGATAACGAAGTTACATTCGCAGTCTTGTCTGCACCTATTAAATTTTCATCGCCTCTCTCCTCTTTTATTTATTTCGCGCGTCTTCGGTCGCGACGACGGAGGAACGAGACGCGTCGACACGTGAAATCTTCGAGGAGAGCCGAAGATTCGTCCGTCCGTCGCGTCTCAATTATGCAAATCCGCCGGTGTGGAACAACCGTCGCTGTTACAACGGCAACAACGGGAAGAAACGATTTACATATCGCGAAAATATGCATGCCACAGAGATGTAAATTGCACGACCGCGCGAGCGGCAGCGGCAGCGACGGCGACGTCGAGGTCTACGGAAAGTGGCGTTTTCCATCGAAAGGGGGACGGCGCAGTCGAAGAATCGAGGAGATCGTGAACAAAGGAAAAATCGAGCGGTCGAATGCGCAGAAGGAAGACAGAGGATAAGCTGGCAATGGAAGCTTTCCAATTAGCATAAGAGCGCAGACGTCCGCAGTTGGACGATAGATTTAACGATTCAGCCGAAATTTTATAGAGAGAGACTCGCGAAGAGGGAGTTTGAAGTGGTTGGTGGGCGAGATACTTTTTAGCATGACTGCATATTTTTCCGCACTGCCTTCTTTATCCGAATGCAAGTACTTGATCCTTTCATATCCTCTTTTCCTCGTAACTTCTGTCAGATATACATATAAATCGGATTTAAATGGCGTCAAGCATGCCTCGATTTATTCATTAATTACCATGTATACGATATGAATGAACCAATGCTTAATCATCATTAAGAATAATTAAAAATACTTCGTAAACTGTGTGTTTATAAATTCCTATTATAAAATAATAAAAAGATGTTTATAATATCAGTTGTCTCCGACAAACAGAAATGAATAAAATATAAGAACATACGACTGACGGTGCAGGTAAAATAATCTCGAGAGTCATCTAGAAAACTTTTCGCGCATTCAAAAAAGATAAAGAAATGTCTAGCAAGATAATTCGTATCATTTATTAATTAACATATAATCATATCTATTTTCTAAGTTTTATATAGCTAACTAAAAATCTGCATTACATAGCGCAGTATTTATAATCAAAATCTACGATGATCCGATGTACTAATACCTAATCCGATTTGCTTTTAAAATAGACTTTGTCACAAGCATTTTCAAATATCGATAGTCTGCAAATTCTCTGTATTTTTCGTAAAAACTAACATACGCATGCAGAGACTAAAAAAACTTCGAGATTTTCCAGAAATTTTCTGTGCAGCGATGCACCGTAATATCTTTAACTCTCTATACTAAAACTAACAAAACTTTCACGATAACTAAGTTGTATTATCATTTCTTTTTTAAATTATTTACATTTTTCGAAATGATTTTTGTTACAATTTAAATGATTATAAATTGATCAATTTAACTTCTCTTCTATTTCTCCTTTTTAAAAATATAGTTCGAGTTTGTCGATAGTTCTAGTATTAATAAAATTACTAATCTTTGGCATGAGCATAGTCAATCCTTACACATTTGTTGTCTTGTAAGGAAAAATCTCGAAACTATCTTACATATTATATGCGCTACAACAAGTACTTTTTCTCGTAAATGCAATCATCTTTCTAGGATCCAGCAATCCCAGATAGTCTTAAAAGACTGATTTCGGATTAATCAAATTGGAACTGTTCGGCGATCGAGCTACAGCGCGAAAATCGATTTTTCGCAGGCATGGTTTGATTCCCCTGGCAAGATCGCAAGACCTCAATGCTACGAAGGCGCGGTATCGCCCGGCGTTGCGCGAGTGCGCACGCGGCGGCATTATCACTATTATTAGCTGGCCATGCCAGCGCTAGCGGCGTCACTCGCGATAGCAAGGCCGTGCGTGATCCCGGGGAACACGCACCACGACGGGACACCATGATCGGTATATGCGATCCTGTTGCCGTGGCGGCTGCCAGCGTCGACGGCGTCTGCGTGGCGACAGCTGGGCGTGCCATCTTGCACGTCTGCGTCCGGCTGCCCATGGTACCAGGCGAACATAACGTGGGCCATAGGCCGTCGCGCGAACGGCGCGCGGAGAGAAATAGCCGAGAGAAAATTACATCGTCGCTCAGGCAAAAGAGCGCGGGGCCGTCCAACTGTCCCGTCATCGAGGCGGGTTACCTCCTCGTTACCAACTGTAACCGCAAAGTGCATGCGCGCCACACACATACACGTACATATTAGGAGCGAGCGAGCGAGCAGAGAGCGAGCGAGAGAGAGAGAGAGAGAGAGAGAGAGAGAGAGAGGAGAAGAAGAGAGAATTTTGCTGGATGTCAATATTCGGATGCAGAGATTGAAATCCATATAACAATAGTGATCGGCGAACTCAATTTTTCGTTGCTCTAAATTGCGGAAGACAGCTGTATCGCGTATCAGTTATCGTTGTTGTTCATCAGTCACGCGAGCCAATGTAGAGATTTCACCGCTTTCGTAATATCGCGAGTCTGAACGCGCCGAGATTATATCTAATGCCGCACATTATGTCGTGGAAATAAAGAAACAGTCTGACGCGGATGTGCGATGGCCGGATTCGATGGAGATGTACGACGGTTATACACACGGTAGCGTCGCGTGCACGCCGTTACGAGCTGAGAGAACACGTCGCC